TCTCTCTCTCTCTCTCTCTCTCTCTCTCTCTCTCTCTCTCTCTCACACACACACACACACACACACACCCACACACACACACACACACACGCACACACACAGAAACACACAAACAAAACAGCAGAACTGAACAAACGAAATCACGAATTAACCCACCTTAGCTCACGGTGGCGCGCTCGATTGCACATCCCAAGCCTCAGCATCCAACCTTTTGGATGCAGATCCCTTCCCGATGCACAGCCTAATCTCCAGCACGACGAAAAGCATAGGAACAACATTCTCTTTCTTTGCGTGTATGTGCATGCGTGTGTGCGTCAGAGAGAAAGAGAGAGAGAGAGAGAGAGAGAGAGAGGATAGTCTGTTTTTGTGTGTGTGTGCCTGATGTGTGTGTTGTCATATTCGCTAGACGCTAAAAAAAAAGCATGACTGTGCCAGACTGTTCGGTCGGACTTTCACCGACTCATCAGGAGGTTGAACCCCGGCAGTGTGTGTGTGTGTGTGTGTGTGTGTGTGTGTGTGTCTGTGTCGAACGCGTAGAGTAGCATAGAGCAGCTCAGAGTCCAGTCAACAACATCTTCGAGTAGCTTAGTGTGTCTGTGGTCCAAGGCTTCTAGTAGCTCAGAGTGTCGAGAGGCCGGGCAGTGTGAACGCTAAAGTTGGTTACTATATGTTCCACACGTGCATTGCCCCGGTACAGTTTTTGGTACCGGCGCTGGCCTTGTAGGCACGCGGGCCTGGTAATACGCGGATGCCGGGGTAGGCTCGCACGCCCGGTACCGTGCGTGGTACCAGCAAAGGCGTGGCAGGCGGGAGTGGTACCGGCCATGGTGAGGTGCCGCGACGGTTCAACTTCTAAGTAAAAACGATCAGCAGACGATCGGGACCTTTGCGCAGCAAAAGATCGAAGCGCCCCAATCATCTGCTTATCACAGGCAGGAAAATAGCAAAAGTTATATATGTACTGATGACGGGCAACTGCGCTCTGTGCGATCCTCTCGCTACATCCTGGTCTGCAACCTAACTTTCCTTTCATTGCTTGCAATACAAAATAGATGGCAGGGAAATGATCTGGTACCTGATGAACGCGAGCTCGTTTTCTGAAAATGTCATCTTCATGGGAGCCAACAATTCGAATGAATTTCTCCACCCGCTTCAGATTAACCTGACAATGCCAGCAAGTTCCCTATCTGTTAGGTTGTAACATATACCAAGGGGACGACAACCAGTGAAGTCCACCTCCCTTGTTTCCCTTGTCGAACAAACTTATACGATGAAGTAACCTACAACTCCTAAGAAGTATAACAACAAGGAGCCATCTACTTTGCCTGGTTCGCCCTCGCTGTGCAAAGTCCAAACTCACTGCTACAACCATGATAACGCCACGCAAAAAACAAGCCCTTCTTCATAGTATACAAGGACAAAAGTTGAGATGATTCCATAATAATATACAAGGACAAAAGATGATGAGATGACACCTTGCTAAAAAGTGACGAAACAAGGAGTCAACGTGCAAAAGGGAAACCCGGCAAGAAACTTTTTTCACACAGAAGAAGAAAAATCACAACAAGAACAAGCACAACAACAAGAAAGCTGTTCGCATACCGAGGTTGACTTCACTCCACTGTTGACTACTGTAGGTGCATAGCAGTACTTACATAGTCGCCTGTGTTCGGCAAAGCTTTCTGTTGGGAAATAACGATGGAGATGGAACGGTTGGTTACATACCTCACCGCTGTCTGTAAGGTAGCCCCCAATGTTCTTGAACTCCCTCACATAGATACTCATCAGCAATGGGATAGCGCCCTGCAAAACGTAAGCCGGCATGATCCATCCCAACCAGCCATCAACTTCGTTATTTATCTCGGCTGGTTGGTCGAGTGCTCATCCACAAATTTGACCACTCACATATCAACTGGTGCGCAGAAGCAAACTGATACAAGTAGGCAGCCGCGCCCTCCCATCTCAACCTTTGTGAACTCGAAGAGGTCACTCCCACTCAGCTTCTCCAATCCACGCCAGCGGACTCATCAAGTAGGCTTGCATTGCTTGCTCTCAACAAGCTATGATGTACTCAGATGTGTTGCATCACCAAAAACAACACTGTTTCATACATCGAGCAAAAGGGAAAGGACTGGACAAGCTCTCTCTCTCTCTCTCTCTCTCTCTCTCTAGTAAGTGAGTGCGTATGTGCATGCTTGCTCCCCTAAAACAAAAAAGCACCTCTCTCTCCCCATCCCATAGACTCGATCTCTGTAACCTGTGCTCAGCTCCCCACTATCACCAGTTCCAGCAATGTTAGGACTTAATCCTTCTGTGTGCCAGAAAAGCAAACATTGCCAAACTGATTCTCCACTCTACGACTGCTCACTCATAGCAACGACCTCATAGGACTCTTTCCACTAAACATTAGCCAACAATGGATCCAGAGTCATTCAGTCTGAACAAGCGCTGCATTCCGTACTGGTAAAAAAAAGACCAGCCTTCCTCTGTACACCACTTTTTGAGGATATCTCTGCAAGACCAAACATCCCAATGCCTCCCTTAAACCACCACGAACATGGAGCGCCTCAACACTAGCAAAACGGTAAGGTGGGGAGGAGCCAGCAGAGGTCTCATTGAGGACCTGCAAAATGACAGAGGGCACCCCACGAGAGGAGCCAGCAGATATCTCTGCAAGACCAAACATCCCAACGCCTGCCTTAAACCACCACGAACATGGAGCGCCTCAACACTAGCAAAACGGTAAGGTGGGGAGGAGCCAGCAGAGGTCTCATTGAGGACCTCCAAAATGACAGAGGACACCCCAGGAGAGGAGCCAGCAGATATCTCGTGGAGAGGAGCCAGCAGATATCTCGTGGAGGGTCCGCAAAACATTCCCGAACTTTCCCTCTTGGACACCTCTTAACCAGTTCCGTCCCAACCTAACAAAAATCTGTTAGGCTTGCCATTGTGGATCCCCGGAGCTCGCGGTGGTTTAAAAGGCCCCCTTCGCCTGCTATAAATTCATCGTGAAATGAGAGTGAACGCCCCACAAAGCAATAATAAAAGAGCCTCCAACATTTCCTGACTTTGCCCCAAAAACACCATGAAACCAGCTCGGTCCCAGCCTCACAAAACCGTGTTAGAATTGGCCCCTCCGCCTGCCTTAAATCTGCCATGAAACTCTTCGATTACTAACTGTGGCGCACACAGACTTTGTTTAAAAATTCTCTATGCAATGTATGCATTCAAATACGGCACCATGTGCCCAATAGGAAAATCAGCTAATACACATACAAAGCAATTATCGTCCTCACCTCCCGGATCTCAAGTGTCGGCATGTGAGGCAAGAAGTCGTTCCCAACAAAGAAGCATATGAAGACAAAATCGTCTATCACCCTTTCAAAATCGACTTCAAACGGAGCGTCTTTTATTGCCAGGTCATATCCCAAGTACTCTCGCAATATCCACACCTGCAAATACTGTGACATAACAACAGGACAGAACATGACGAATCAGCATACAATATAAACATATATTACTTAAACAAGTGACTTCTGAGTGCATGTAGACAAAATCGTTTATCACTCTTTTGAAATCGACTTCAAACGGAGTGTCTTTTATTGCCAGGTCATATCCCACGTACTCTTAAAATATCCACACCTGCAAATACTGTGACATAACAACGGGACAGAACATGACACATCAGCATACGACATAGATTTATTACTTAAACAAGTGACTTCTACTTCTGAGTGCTTATCACCCAACAAGAAGGCTGGTGGACCATCAGCTCCCTCCAGAGCACCAAGTTTGGACCAACTTCGAGTGCGAAAAGCTGAGATCTGCAATGAACCTACTTCAATTCAATGGCAGCTTCAACATACATCACACCGAAAGTTCACAGACAGCTCACACAACACACGTGAGATGGATGGCAATTAGCCCAACTGAATTGACTTCTTCCCAAAAGCATCAGAACTGCTAAGGTTCCAAGTATATAATACAAGCCGTTACAACTGCTATCGCCATCACACCACACATGTAACTCTTGCTCAGATCTCTCCCTCTCTGTGTCGCATACCGTAAAGGTGCAGACCAGAACAAGAACCGACCTCTCTCACTTAGTATAAGATAGCACAGCGGAAGGCTTAAATACCAATGATCCGAACAATCAATGTTGTCATGTAGACCAGACAGACATCATCATCATTCCATGGTGTGAAGGGGCCTGGCGCTCACACAGGAAAAATGCGCCAGTCCCCAACCATACACAGACGAAGAAGAGGGGGGTTAGACGAAGAAGAGGGGAAGATGGGAATGTCGTCACCACCAAGTCTTCGGTACAGGTCCCAAATAATCCCTCGTCGAATGTCTGAATCCCAATGTCGCGTCTGGAACCAAATGTCGTCAGGTCCCAAAGTCACCAATCTCTCTCTCTCTCTCTCTCTCTCTCTCTCTCTCTCTCTCTCTCTCTCTCTCTCTCTCTCTCTCTCGTAGTCTGCAGATACCGAGAAGTCAGGTAGCGAGAGGGGGAGGAGGAGATGGTGGACTTAGAAGAGGAAGAAGAAGAACTCTCTCTCTCTCTCTCAGTCCGGTACTAACCTGTGAAGGTGGCGCCTTGTTGCAGGTACATCGAAGACGAAGCTGGAGCTATGGCGCCGCAGGTAAGTCTCCCTGGCCTCCACCAACCATCTCTCTCTCTCCACTACTACTCTAGCTCCTGATAGCGCCCAGCGACTACTGCTAACGCTACTACTACTACACTGCAGCGCTCCTCCAGAGTGCTGCTGCCGAATCCTGAAGACTGCCTCCTGCCTCCTGCACGTGAAGTGCCTGCGAATTTCCTATGAACTACCTCGTGACTGTCTCCGACTGCCTGCAGCCTGCAGGGCGGGCCAGTCTTCTATAGTGCTGGCCCGTCCAGGAGGCTGCTCTTGCCAATGCCAAAACGTGCCAGACCCTGGTGTTGAAGTTCAAACAAAGGTTGTCTTGAAAATGGCCTGTGCTAAAAATGGCCCTGGTCTTGAAGTTCAAACAAAAATGGCCTGTGCTAAAAACCCTGGTCTGGTGCCTAAGTTTTAGGGCAGGTCGACTTTACAAGGGCCTGAAAATGGCCCTCGTTTTCAGGCTTTTACGCGGAAATGACACAGGGCCTGTAGGCCTTCGTTTTCAGGCTTTCAGGCTGAAACAACACAGGGCCTGTAGGCCCTTGTTCTCAGGCTTTCAGGCTGAAAACGACACAGGGCCTGTAGGTCCTTGTTTTCAGGCTTTCAGGCTGAAAACGACAAAGGGCCTGTAGGGCCCTTACTTTCCTTGTTTGGTCGGCCCTTGCAGGCCCGTGTGGATGTGCAGTATGCCACACTCTCCCTCTTGCTTTCTCACTCTTCTCTCGTATCTCCCCATCTAGCTCTCTCACTCTCGGTCTCCGAATACACTCGCTACTGCCTAAATTTGTGTCTCTCCTACCCTACTTCGACCTTGCAGCTATGGCTGCCATCTCCTTCCTCGTCAATCCTATCTATGGCACCTAATCACCCTTCTCCTCCGTTGTCAGTGGGCTGTCCAACCGCTCAGTCGCACAAGTGCTACAGCATAGCTTCCGCAACATGCAAATTGAAACTCAATGAAGCACTGTAGCATCTATAAATAGCAGCTGAAGTGAACCATTTTTGGGTCCAGACCGGTACGGGTCGATGCAGCCTGTCAGCTGCAGTTTGACACCTGTCAGGTGCAGTTTGTCAGTTCCAGAACTTACTGGATTTTTCTCAGGATGCTGCTGCAAAATTGGACTTCGGGACTGTAGACTTTTCTTGTCGGAGCTGGGCGACCCGACCTACCAGACCTGTAGACCTACAACGCTTTTGAAGTTTTCCACTATGTTGTTTGTGGAGGTGCAGCGAAAACAGCAAAGTTTTGACCCTGCCTTAACCATCTCTCTCTAGGTACACGTGGTTAACCCGTGGCCCTACTCCTGGAACTGGGAGCTACTGGAGCTACCTGGGACTGGGCCCAGGTGGGACACTGGGATCAGGCAGGAACGGCGCGCGAAATCCTTTCAGATCTAACAAAGAGCTTGACAAATAAGGCAAATCAACCTCACAAACACTGCCACGCAACGCTTGAGGCATGCACACCCCTTCCCCCTACTCGTCAGCTCTTCAAAATCCACAGTGGTTGATCAGTACTTTCTGGCCCCAGGTCCCTCCGTGCACGCATGGAATCGAACCGGCACCCTTAGCCACAAAATCTAATTCTCTTAACCACTGCAGCCATGTGACGGGGTACAGAAGTCGTACCATACTGGTCGTGATATCCACCTCAACCCTGCATGGCTGTAGTGCTCTCTCTCTCTCTCTCTCTCTCTCTCTCTAGTCAAACAGAGCAGCCCCGTAAACCGTAGGCAGAGAGGGAGAAGAGGACAACAAACGAGCAGCTGTGACAAACTGTTTCGTCGGAGTTTCACCAACTCGTCAGGAGGCTGAACCCTATATATCGTCACAATGATATCAGAACGCAAAAGCGATTAAAAATTTAAAAAAAATCAATTCATTTTTTTGTCTTCTTACTTACAACTCCCCCTGTTCAAAACCTCTTGCATACAAGGCCGCCCACGTGGATGTATATATATCGTCAAACAGAGCTGCCCGGTATATATGTTGTCACATAACTATGAACTAAAAGAGCGCACTTTGCGAAACAAACGGCAAAAATTAAAAATTAAAAAACAAGACAAACATGAAGGGCACACTGAAACCATTCATTTTTGTCATTCTTCTCTCCCCTTTCACAGTGCCTCTCACGTACAAAGCTCGCCACGTTGATGAAGTTTAGCGGGAACTGTCCCCATTCCTGTGTACTGTAACAGCCCACTTCTACACTATGAAATTCGGCAGCACTTCCGTACCACCGCCGTAAAACTTAGTGCCGCCGCCGCAAAAATCGACAGCACTTCCCCACCGCAGTGAGAAAATGGCAGGCCAAAATTAGTAAAATTTGGGCCCCAGGCCCAAATTCCACTTAGCCGCACTGCCATAGTCCCGCAGCGTCCCTGGGTCTGTCCCGTGGGACCAGCACCAGCCAGAGGGGAGGGGAGCAGCTTTTACGGGTTCGAGACGATTCTCCTACTGCATGGATTGGCTTCATCGGGCTACTACAAAACGGCGAGGGATTTTTTCCCACTACTCACGCGGATTTCCGGGCAAATACGGCCCGGACTCGGGATGAGTTTTTCGGATATACCTTGTATTTTCACTGCGCGAGTAATCTCCAATGTCTCTCACGAGTCATTGTGAGTATCACGATTACCTCGTCCGGCAGACGTTTCGACGTCATCCAGATCTGGGATACTGAGACCAGACACTTGTTTGGACTCAGTCGGCCTTGCACGGATGGCCTCCCTATATGGTACTCAGATTTTTAGAGTCATGCGAAGAGGGTGAGCGACAACCCTGGTACTTGACAACGACGAGCGTGCGCGTTTGGATTTGCTGGAGGCACAGGTGCGCGGAGGACGACAGATTTACCAGGGTTAGACGCCGCTTTCTGGAAATCTTACTCAGATTCCAAAAAACCTTTTGCATAGACCAATCCCGTCGAGGAAGTCATATGATTATGACTTCACGAGGTAATCTAAAAAACAGATTTGCTGGAGGCACAGGTGCGCGGAGGACGACAAATTTGTTGTAGTTAGGACCGCCGGATGGATAGTATTCGGATTACCCTGATGATAGCACTATCATGCTTATGCATTGAGGGGTAACCACATGCGTAACCACATGTGTAAAAACGCATGTCAGAGGCTAAAGGGAGACGATAACTGAGGCGGGGTCGAACCGAGAGTTCAAACCTCGACCAGGAACCAGATCACTTGTTGATCTACATGGTACCAATGGTATTTACTTACAGAAGCCAACCATGACAGGCTTCTGTAGGCATAATACCATGCTAAACTTAAAACTTCGAAAAAGTTTAAATTCAGCTCAAAAAGGCTTGAAATCATGACGAGTGGGAAAGTTGAAAGCATGATTCTTTTTCATCAGACCAAACCTATTAAAAAGTTGTGCTATAATCGTTGAGCTGCTTGATATAGTAACTTCATGTAAATTATTTTTGTGATTTCGTCTGAATAACTTGTGTATATATATATCGTCAAATAGAACTGCCAGTAAACCGTAGGCAGAGAGGGAGAAGAGGACAACAAACGAGGGGCTGTGACAAACTGTTTCGTCGGAGTTTCACCGACTCATCAGGAGGCTGAACCCTCAACAGTCTGTAAAATCCCCTCACTGATTACACTGTAAGTGATAATCCACCTTAACCAAAATCAAAGTAGACTATCACTCACCCACACCAGATGGAAAACTCTACAGACTGCATATATATATATATATATATCGTATATCGTCACAAATAGAACTGCCCGGTAAACCGTAGGCAGAGAGAGAGAAGAGGACAACAAACGAGGGGAGCTCGGCAACGC